CCTCCCTGCCCTCCCTCCCTGCCCTTCCTCCCTGCCCTCCCTCCCTGCCCTTCCTCCCTGCCCTTCCTCCCTGCCCTTCCTGCCATTCGAGGACACAGGGTCGGGTCCCGGGGCTGAAGCAGCACAGGGGCACCGTGACGCCCCCTGTGAAGCAGAGAGCAGCCTGGCCAGAGGCCAGTCCCCCCAGAGCCTTCGCCTGGCTGCCCCGCCCCCAGGGCTGGGAGCAGCTTCTCTTCCTGGCCAGTCACCCAGTCTGGGGTAACTGCACAGGACACAGATGGCCTAAGGCTGTTACTTCTGAAGTCTGGAGGGACGTGCATCTTCAGGGGACACGATCCTACCCACTCTAGTTCTCCCACCTGTGAACTGGGTGCCACGGTGGTGGCTGAGGGCACTGTCTGGGTGGAGGGGAGTGGACGTGGTACAGCTCTCTGAGGTGCTCTACCATGGGTGCCATGTTCGTACCCCCTTCCTTCCCAGTGTGACTTCCTGGGAGTGTCCCCCCACCCCTAAGCCAGCTGGATCCTGCAGAGAGGAGACTGCGCTCGTCCTCTGCCAGCCCACGGCCCATCTCGCAGGCGGGTGCCTGTGTGTGAGTATCTATTTGCTTATGTTTTGGTGACCGTGTCCCCCAGGCTGGCCAAGCATCCTCCTGCCTCAGTCTCTGGAGCAATGGGGACAACAGGTAGGACATATATCATTTTCACTTTCTTGCCCAATTGAACATACCTGGTTTTTGAAGGTAAAATTGGTGAAACTTATTCCTCCGTTTTCGGAGGAATAAATAGTGGTCTGCGATACCTGTTCTCCACGCGAATATGCAAAAATGGAATTGTTTATCTCCTGGGAAAACAACACACAGGAAACAACCCCTCAGAAGAAGACAGCAGGGACAGCTGCCCGCCTGTGCCTGTGCCACCTCGTTCTAGAGACGGGGTCTCGCTGACCCCAGGCTGGAGGGCAGTGGCCCTTCACGACATGTCTGTCTGGCCGCTGACCAGCACTCGGTGGTGTTTGGGGCTGGGAAAGGAGCCAGGGCCGCGCAGGCCGGGCCTGTGCTCAGGACTCTGCTGCCCGGTGGCAGCCCCAGCAGCCCGGAGGCCTGGCCTGTTTTGTTTCCCTCCTGGGCCGGTCGGTCCCTCCTCGGACACCTGGTGGACTGACGAGGCCCAGGTCCCATGGCCGACCACTGCCGTCACTCCATGGGAACCCAGGGTAACTCTGCCTAGTTCAGGTGGACCTGCCCCCTTCCTCCTAGACCCCGGGGCCACATACTCAGTCCCCAAGGACTGTGACCTCTGTGACCTCTATTGTGGGGGGGAAGGCAAACCTGACCAGCCCTGACAGACACCCAGCCTTGTCTGGGCTTTGACTGTCCGATTTTCACCCACTCCCGTTTGGTCACTCCACAGCAGCCCGTCCCCTTGTGGGAAGAGACATTCTCACAAAGGTGGGGGCTGCGCTTTCCTCCTCCCTCATCTTCGCTTCCATCCAGACTCACCTGCCGCGCCCCTGATCCTCAGCCTCACCTTAGGACCATCCCCTAGTCCATCGCCAGGGCCTCCCATTACCCGCCCAGGGTGGACCCTACTGTCTGGGATGTTTCAAGCCCTTCTGTCGCCTCACACTGTAGGGGTTCTGTGTTGGGATGGGGTCCCTGATGACTCCCCGGCTGTGACATGCTGGTGCCTGGGCAAGCTTCTGTGCCAAGGCACAGGATGCCCGGTTGCTATGGCAACGCCCTCTGTGCCAGCATCTCATCAGCTTCCACCTTAACCTGAGGCACATAACCCCAGGAACAGAGGAACTTGCTTGATCGATGATATCTACAAGGCTTCCCCAGGCTCCGGTGCTCCTGGAGCTGCCCGCCTAGCAGTGACTTCACACAGTGACCTCCCTGAGACCGCACAAAGCTCCTGGCCCTGTGTACGGTAGCGGTAGCTGTGACGCGTCACTCGGCGTAAGCAGCCTTCCTGGACCCTGAGCGAAGAAGTGGTTACGGTACTAATGACTGGCATAGATAGAGGACAGAGCCCCTCGGCCACCTCTCCTCCTCTGCACCTTGTCTCTGCGTCCTCATTCTCTGAGATTCTTTACAACACACCACGAGCCCGTTCACATCGTCTCCAAAGCCCTCCATTTTCTGCCCAGTCACAATCCCGCTCTCCCCGTTGCTGCTCCCTTCTGCAGGGCAGCCTCCTCAGCTCCCTTCCAGCCCCAGGTGTGTGTGTGGCCAGGCCTGCGCACCCTGGCCTCGGGCCCAGGGCAGTTAGCACACACCCTCCTCCGTTCACCTGGGGCTCCTTCTTCATCCTCACTGTGGCCTCCTCTCCCCCTCCCCATCTTCATAACTTTGCGAGCACTCGGGAGAGTGGAAGGAGATCCCTCACAAGCAGCCTCTCTCCTTTCTCCACGCTGAGCCTTCCCCGCTCCTCCTGCCCCCCGCCCAGCTCCTACTTCCACTAATGGCCGGATTCCTCCAGAGACCCTCCTTCTAGACACACAAGGGACCAGAACTCTCCTGCACTGTAAAGCCCTGGGCAGCATCTCCCTGGCCACAAAGCACAGGGCCAGCAGGCTTGATCAGGGGCCTGGGGGGGGTGTCAATTTAACTTTTCCTTTGGCAACAACACAGAAGATGGACTTCAAAACTTTCTCTCTGGGGCAGGGGGCGGGGGGCTGGGGCTCAGTGGTGGAGCCCTTGCCCAGCACCCGTGAGGCCCTGGGTTCGATCCTCAGCAGCACATAAAAATAAGTAAAATCAAGGTTTTGTGTCCAACTGCAACTAAGCAAACAACACTTTCTCTGCCTCTCCGCCTCCCTGACCTCCCACGCCCATTTCACCTTCAGGTGAAAAGGCAGGGATTGGCTCTCGGGGTCCTGGACCCATGATGTGGGATCAACCTTTGCCCCGTGACTTATCTAAGGGGTGGCCCCTGGCCTGAGAACACGGGCCACAGCCTCTCTACTCATTAATGAGTCAAAGGAACCCACCTTTGGGGCCCCACTCACCACCCTGGCTCCCCATCCCTCAACGGAACCCCCTCCTACCAGGGCTACCTTCCTACCCGGTCAACCTCTGTCTGCTCAGGTTCCCCTGGGGGCCAGCCACTGTCACTCTCCACGCGTGCTCGCCTTTAAACCCCGCTGCGCCCCCTGCCCTCAGGACTCTCCCCTCTCCTCCTTTCCTGCACTAAACTCTGGGGGAGCTCCTTCCACACCCCCACAGGAGGGCCCCTGCTCCAGGGAACATGCCCGCGGCCCACACATGGCTCCTCCTTCCCTGGGGGGGGGTCCGCCAGGCAGGGTCTGCTGCAGTCTCTGGAACCTCCCCAGCAACACGTCCAATCGCGGGCTGAGCTTGGCGCCTCCTCAGAGCCTCCCTGGGGCAGAGGGAGGCCCCCGACGTCCACACTGACTCCACACACGCTGCCCACGTTCTTCTCTCCCACTCTGCTATCGGGAAGGAGCGGGATTCCTTGCCACCAAGGGACTTCATTACTCATGTCCCCTTCAGGTCCCCAGGCTTCCCTCTGCCACTGGAACGGGAGGATGGCAGCTAGCACCCCTCTCCTGGGGCACTTCCTTTCCTGACCCCCTCCTCGCCATAGCCTTCTGCTGACGCTGGCCCCTGCCTCATTACCTTGATTCAAGGCCAGACTCAGAGGGTCTCCAACCAAACCGTGAACCAGCTGCGGTCACAGACTTCCAACCCCCACCCACGTGGGCGTCCAGGGTCAGCATCACCCCCCGACCCTCACCACGGCCCCAGTGACACCCCGCGCCCCTGACAAGCATCCAGAGGCCGCCCCTGCCCGGCAGGAAGAAGCCACAGAAGATTGACCTACGCCCCTGTCCCTTAAGGTCCCTGCTTAGCATCGGCTCGGCCATCTTACGTGACAGCTGCCATCTTAAGAAAGACTTTCGCTTTCCGCCCCAGGGCGCTTCTGAGAAGGGCTCCCCACTCCCTCACCCCAACCCACCCTTAACCACGGCGTCAGGAATCCGCTCTAATCCCTGAGCCTGCCCCATAAAAGTCCTGGAGCCCAAGCGTCTGTTCCCCTCTCCATCTAGGGAGGCGGCCTTTATTCCTCAGCTCTGGCAAATGAACTCCGTGGGTCTCTCTGCCTGGCCTCCGTCCGTCCTTCCTTTCTTGCTCCCCCGTCTCCAGGGCCTCTCTTTCCTGACCTCTCTCCTTGCCACAGGCCTTCCGCTAAGCTGGCCCCTGCCTCATTAGATTGATTCAAGACCAGACTCAGAGGATCTCTGACCCATCAGTCCTGGGAACCAGCTTCCGTCACAGGACTTCCAACCCCACCAACGTGGGCGTCCAAAATAGGAGCTGCTGCTCTTCAGGACAATAACCCCTGCCCACGGCCTTCCTCTCCTCCGTCTTAACACCCTCATTCCAGCATGGTCCAAAAGTACTAAACGGAAAATTCCAGAAATGGGAATAACAAGCTTTTCTGCACAGTGTGACGCAGTCCCCTTCCCCACGCTCCCCTGGCCCGGGGGAGAAGCATCCCCTAGTTCGGCTGTGGGGGGAGGCCCAGCAATGGCTGAGTCCTCGGGGCTGTGCGGTCTGTGGTGTGGCCAGGGCCGGGACGACCAACTGCGTGGAGGGGCCCACCCGAGTCCTGAATGTCAGCCTGTGAGCCTGGCCCCTGCAGCCTGGTGGTGGTGGCCTCCTCTGTTTGGCTCCATGGAAAAGGGCCTAAAGGAAAGGCTGGGGGGCGCTGAGCGGAACTGGCCAGGGCGGAAGCAAAGCTGAGGCTGGCCAATGGCCGTGTCCACCTCTGAACAAAGCACGTGTGCTCCCCTAACTGGCCTCGCACCTTCTCCCACCTGCTGGACACGAATCTGCTTCCTGGGTCGGAGCCCCCACCCTACCTGGGTGCCTCCGCGCTGTGTGTGCCACCTGCCCCTTGGCCATCCACTGAATGCCACAGCTTCCCAGAGCACAGCCCCGACTTCGTGGAACAAGGCCCCAAGCATGGGAGTGGCCATGTGGGCCACTGGACCCACCACAGAGGGGTCCAAGTGCCTCCTTTAAGGGAAAAGGAAAAACACAGTGGGCCCTGCTGGGAAGGAGAGCCCCGCACCCTGCAGGACTCTGGTCACAGGAGGTGACCATCTCTGTTCCGTCATTCCTTATCGTTGCTGACCTCTACCTAAATCACAAGTTGGACTTTACCATGGGTCTCCACGTATATGAAAAATAGTTCACATAGACACCTGTGTACTTAGTGTGTACACGTGTGCGTATGCAAACACACACACGCGTGGCCTTGTGCTGTCCTCAGTGCCCAGCACCCTGGTCTCGAGACACGTGCCTTGCAGAGAGAACAAGGCTGTCTCCGTGGCACTGGAGGTCACGGGGTAAAATGGCCTAGAACTGGGAATGGGCGTGGCTCCCGTGTCCATGTCCTGTGTGAGGCGTGACCACTGGGGAACTGGCGGAAGGACACCTGGGACTCTGGTCTTTTAGCAAATCCCTACAGTGTCTATAATTATTCCAAAATGGTACGTTTGTTGAAACAAGATAGACAGGCCCACAGGGGGCGCTCTTTGATCTGAAGTCTCTCCAGGGCCCCTGCCAGCTCTCAGGCCCTCTTCCCAGCTCCACGGAGGTGACGTCCCCCGAGCCTGGCATGGGGCCCATTCAAGATGACTTGTGTTCGGGACAGAGTGAAGAAGGGAAAATCGTAAATCGTGCTTACCGTGCAAAAGGTGTTTCCAACAAAACAACAATTGTCACCAGAGATGTGTGAAACGGGATGCTGAATACCTGAAAAGAACAGGTGATCCTTACGTACCACTGTATACACCATCAGAGAACGTTCTAGAATGGAGTGTGTCGGCCTCGACACTAGGGACGTGAGGCGGTCACCCTCAGCTCAGGCCCTCTYTAGGCACCACAGGAGGCTCAACAGGTCCTCCTCTCCCCTCAGTGCCGTAGCCTCTTCCCCCGGCTTTGGAAATGGAAAGTGTCTCTGAACATCGCAGGATTCCAGTGAGACCTGCTGGCTTGGGGGGACTTCCAGGGCTGCCGAATCCCAGGTGGGGCTCCCTTCTCTTCCTTTCATTCTATTTAAAAGCAGAGGCTTCTCCTCCAGAGCCACACAGTCCCTGACTGTTAGGGAAACGCAGGTCAAAGCCACGAGGAGGTGGCCCGCACCCCACAGGGATGGCTGATCAAAACAGCAGAGGCCCAAGTGTGCCGAGGACGTGGGGAAGGGCGATGGTGCACTGCCTGGGGCTGGAACGCTCGCAGTTCCCAGAAACCCACAGTCACGCGAGGATGCCCTTCCGCCCCTGGGGACACACCCGGAATCACTGACAGCAGGGACTGGGGAGGCCTGGCACCTGTGTTCCCCGCAGCAGGCTGTGCCAGAGGTGGAAAGGACCCCAGTGTCTGCCCACCGGGGGCACGGCACCCACGTGGGAGTAGGCACRGTCACCACGTGGATGACCTCAAGGGCTTTAGGTCAGTGAAGACTCCAGAGTAGGAGGACACAGGGGGCAGGACGGCACCTGCGTCAGGTCCCGGAGTCGACATGACATGGAGACAGGACAGAATGTGGGGACCCGGTGGGGAGCTGCCCTGAAGGCTCCCCGGCCACCCCCTTGCCGCCTGCACTGGGGTTCCCTGCTCTCCTCCTCAGGACGCTCACCGGGCCCCTAACGAGCACTATGTGGGATTGAGCATCCCCACAAGACATCGGGGAGTCACTCTTGGCCCCCCTGGGTCCTCCTGGGTCCTGGGGGTGTCTTCTGATTCCATCAGGCCGAGCGGGTTTTTGTGGCTGGGGCAGAAACAATGGGTTCCCACCCTCTGGGACGAGGCTTCGGCCAATTTTCATTTGGTCCTTCCCCCACCCCCTCCCTTCCTTCTTTTCCTCTTTCCAGTCCTGGGGCCGGAACCCAGGGCCTCACACACCCAGGCAAGTGCTCCTCCGCTGAGCCACATCGGGGATGCACACCTGGCATCCCACCACCCGGAGGCCTYGGCAAGAGGACTTCAAGTTCCAGACCAGCCTCAGAGACTCAGCAAGACCCTGACTCAAGTGCAGTTCCCCTGACCGTTTTATTTTGGGCGCGCACCCTTGGGTTCAATTCCCAGCACCTGGGGGTTGGGGGGAGACAAGGTGACATCCAGGGACTGACTCCCAAGTAGGAAGGCCATGTATGTTTCTGAAATTGATCCTCTCTTCTCAAATGTTGGCTAAACTCCAACAAAGTTCAAAAACACAAACCCACGCACCTGTCGCCATCTGCCAGACATCCTCCTTGTAGGCATAAGTATAGACTTTCCCATTCACTACCAACAGCAGTAACGCGTTGGCAAAATGTGCTGATGTCACTTCTGGCACGCCCACCTAGAAAGGAGGATGCGGTCACTGCGCTGTGCGGGACGTGGATCTGCTAAGCTGTCCCCGACCCCCTGTCCGTCCTCGTCTCCGGGACACAGCTAGATGTCTGCAGGACAGGCCAGCAGTGTGAGCAATGAGGGCTGCACAGGGCCAGTGGCAGAACTTCCTGAGACAGTGACTGTGAGGGTGGTTCTGCTTTGGCTGAGGACAATTTAGGGAGGACTTGAAATGACCTCAGGAAATGAGGATACCATCCCATCTCCGGGACACACAGTGGAAGGAAGACCCTGGGCCACTATTGTGTTTCCTTTCTCTCAAAGAAAAAGCCCACTTTGGTAGTAGGAAGAGAACAGGACCAACCCCCAACCCGGTTTTAGCTTAGAAATTGCTCTTGGCCTCAAAGGGCACATTGTCAAAGAAACCTGAAACTAACGAAAGCAGGCCACTCTGATGCTTTTGAACTCTGTCTTCCCCTGAATATTATGTATCTCAAAGATCCTTCAAACCATCTGGTAAAGTAACTACCGTCATGGATGTAGGGATGGTGAGTGGAAGGAGACTACTCTCAAAGTTGTCTCTCGTGAGAAAAATGTGTTTTCTGAAATAAACCATAAAAGAGTTAAATTAGGACGATTTCACACAAGAAAATTTTATAAGACCATGAAGTTACTCTAAAAATGTTCTGTTCAAGGGAAATTCCTGTTTAGCCAGGAACCATCCAGGTAACACCTGTTACTGAATTTGCAGGAGCACCTCTTTATAGCTCTGGTATTTGATTTTGTTGTTTTGTTTTTGGTTTTGCTACTGGGGACTGAACCCAATGGCGCTTAACCACTGAGCCACATCCCCAGGCTTTTTAATATTTCATTTAGAGACAGGGTCTCACTAAGTTGCTGAGGCTGGCCTGGAACTTTCAATCTTCCTGCCTCAGCCTCCGTAGCAGCTGGAATTGCAGGTGTGTGCCACTACGCCCCAACAGGGATGCAATTTTTTAAGAAAATTTTTTCAGTCTGCGGTCGGTGGAATCCACAGATGCAGGACGTGGACGCTCTGCTGTGACTGTTTTAGTTACTTGCTGCTCTCTGTTCCCCTTTCTCCAAGCCTAGCCCTAAGCGTGGACTCCCTGCAGCCAGCTAGGAGCAATGAGGGCAAAACCATCTCTGCTCGTGTTTGTGGGATGAGTAAGTTTCAATGTAAAGGAAGGAGACGGTGAATAAAATGGCCACTTACCCTAGATACAGTGCTATGTTTTTATCACAAGCATGTTTAATCAACCTGGTCCCAGACTGAAAATACAGCACATCCTAGAGAGAATCACAGTCTCAATGAGATCAACGCTGATAACCAGGCAATACAAGAACAACCCAATGTCAACATTACAAATGTAAAGGGTGAAATATCCATTAGGTAGGTGGCTTGTGTCAATGTCATCTCCTCTTTTTTTTTTTCCTTTTTTTTTAATGGCATCTCATTATGTCCCCCAAGCTGGCCTTGAACTCCTGGGCTGAAGTGATTCTCCTGCCTCAGCCTTCCAGGTTACCTGCGACGACAGGTGTATGCCACCATGCCCAGCTTCATTTTCCTCTTTTGGTTTTAGAGTGTGGTCAGGTCAGGTGTTACCACTGAGGAAAGCTGGGGAGGGGCCCCTAGAGCCTCCCTGGACTATTTTTGCAGTTTGACGTCAATCTATAATCACAATGAAATAAAAGGTGTCATTCATATCACACCTCATTCCTGTAGATGTTGTCTACTGACACATAGTAGCTGGGTACCGTGGCCCACGCCTGTTGTCCCAGCTACTTTGGGAGGATGGGGCGGGAGGATCATTGGAGCTTAGGAGTTCAAGGCCAGGCTGGGCACCATGGCAAGAGCCATTCTCCAGGGGCTGAGGCTGTAGCTCAGTCGTAAAGTGCTTGTCTCACATGTGTGAGGCACTGGGTTCGATCCTCAGCACCACTAAGAATAGTGTGTTCATCTACAACTAAATAAATATTTTTTTTTTTAAAAAAAGAGCCCTTCTCTAAACAAACAGAATACCCAGATGATTACTTGGAAGAGAGGCCTAAGGATGGAGAATCTTATGCCAGAATGTGAGAATCCAGAGACTTGAAGATTTAGAAAGACTACCTTTGAAATTGCACAGCGTCAACAGGAAGCTTCCTTGGAGGGGAATTTGCTTTTTAGGCATCTTAAGCACGTGTTGGGTAATGTGGTGCTATCCGCCATGCTGCGCCACGCAGAGCACCTCCACGTGACTGCATTTCAAAATCTATCAGATGTGATAGCAGACCTAGCTGTGGGTGGAGGGTCAGGTGACCTGAGTCCTAACCCCTTGGTTAGGTTCCTTGATCAAAGCTCTCATTAGGGAAATGGGAGTGATTATTCCCTACTGCTAAGGAAAATTAATTAAGGATTAAATAAAGCAATCTCCTTAGAGACCTGATGTACTGCTGCCTCTCAGGAGATATGAGGAAATGTTCCTTCCCCTCTAGCCATTAGATAAAAACTCAAGGCAGAATGTAGGGGGGAGCCACGTACCCCTTGGACTTGCTGAATGACGTTAAACACTTTTCCTGTCCTCACCGTGCGAATCCTGGAGGTAACAGATACATTTGCAGTCAATATTCAGACTATGTTAGTTACTGCCCTTGACTTGTTTTGAGGGTTGTGGGTGACCCTAGAAAACTCTGAAACTGTGGGCCCTCCGCTCTGTGAAGCAGATTTGTGTACAGGCCTACACAGAGATGGAGCCTGTCAGTTCCCAAAAGCTCATTCACAGAGCCCAGATGAGGAAGATAAAACTCCTGCTCCAAGCCATTAGCTTTCCTGCTTCTTTCCTTACGAGATGGTGGGAATGGCAGCATAGTTTGTAGCAGAGATTCAGCCTTGAACCTTGAGTGAGCGCCACATGACCGGGAACCTTTGACCCAGTAAGTTTGGGGAATTGTGTCTCTACCCAATTCTAACCAATTCCTAGGTGCTGCGCTGCTTGGCCAGGGACCAGCAGCATGGGGGAAATGGGAGAAGTAGACACAACTGATCCTTATACACTTTGAGATAAGTCCTCCTAGGAAGCCTTACAGGAAAACCTTACTTCCCACTTAGCTATATGTCTTTCAGCAAGTGGGTCTAAAGTTTTCCTGGGTCTGTTTTCACATCTATTAAATGAGGTGAAGGAATCACTAATTTGTGAAGCTTGTCATAAAGACCCAAAGGGTCTTAGGCACACACTGACTATCTCACAGTAAGCAGGTCCCTGCTGAGTGACAGCTCACTCCTGTGCCCGAGGGTGCCAACTGAGCTTTGGCATCTGCGTGGCCCGTGGCCCTTGCACACTATCCACCCGTCTACTGGAGTCTAGAAGTGTACTGGGTAAGGAGTGAATGAAATGGGCAGCCCAGAGCCCACAGGCTCACGGTGCGAATTGGTCAAAAAATTAAATAACAGCAATTAGTGACAGAAAATACAAGAATCAAGGGATAGAAAGTAACAGTGGAGAAGGGCTTAAAAGGGGGAATGAAGAACTGATCATGGAGAAATCTGGAAGCCAAACATGCCAGGCAGAGGGAACAGAAAGCCCTAAGCCTGGACCAAGGACGCGGACGTCTTGGCTGCAGCCCTGTGACCCAGGGGTCAGGCCAGGAGCTCTGGGAACCCCAGGAACCTCTCGGGTGATTGTGAAGTCTGGGAGAGGACGTACTACTACCGGCCCCCAGGGAGCGGAGACCAGGGACGTGGTCCAGCTAAACGTGGAAGGAGGCACAGGACAGCTCCGGCCGGCTGTGCAAGGGGACTGCAGGCTGCGCGAGGGACGTGCGTTGTCCCGGGTTTCGGCGGAGAACCAAGGCAGGGGAATGCCCAGAAAGAGCCGCTCAGGGGTTGGTCAACGGACAGGAGGAAAAGCCTAGGGTGGAAGCGGCCGAGGAGTCCCGGGGTAAAACTGGCGGACGCGGAGATGGGCTGGGAAGGTGGGAGAAAGGGCAGTACCAAGCCTGACTCCTACAGAGTCCGCGGCCTCAAGGACGGCGCCCTCCCCACCGCTAGCAGCACCCCAGCCCCCGGAGGGCAGCCCCACCGGCACAGCTGACTAGCTCCGACCGGCGCCCAGAGCCGGGCGGTCGCCGCCACCACCAGCATCAACACCAGCATCTCGCTGGACACGGCTACCACCGCCCTACAACCGCCTCGGGCACTAGCTCCACCGGCAGGGCGTGCGTAGACGAGCCTGGGCGCTCCCGTGCCTGCGCATGCGCACATGGCAGCACCCTGCGTGGCCTGAGCATGCGCGACTGGATCCTGGGCTCGCAGGGCCCGTCAGTGTGGGCATGCGCGTCCTGTCTCCTGGGAAGCTCGAATGCAACTTCACGGCCCAGAGCTTGGCCATGCGCATGTCACCCGCTGCCCTAAGCGCGTGCCCAGGGAGCCCATAAGTTCTCAAAGGCTTGCAGCATCAGTTCTTTCCACAGCTTTCCCGGTGACCCGAAAGCTCTGCCGCGCGTGAGGTGGGAGGCCGAGGGAGTTACCCCGCCCACCGCAAGCCCCTCCTAGAGGCGTGACTTCTAGCGCCACGCCCTCCTCGGGGCCGCGGCACGCGCCAGGCGTCACGTGCGCCGCGGCCCGGAGAGCGGAAATGACGCGACTCCCGCGCGCCCCCAGTATGGCCGGGCCATGGCGGCGAGCACAGGCTACGTGCGGCTGTGGCGCGCGGCGCGGTGCTGGGCTCTGCGCCGGCCGCTCCTGGCCGCCGCCGGGGGGAGGGGCCCGACCGCGGCCGGCGCGTGGCTGCCCAGAGGCCGGAGGGCCTGCGACGCTTCGCCTCCTTGGGCGCTTTGGGGCCGAGGCCCGGCAGCCGCCGGCCAGTGGCGAGGGCTTTGGGAAGCGAACAGCCGCGGCAGCGGGGCATTCTCGGGCGGCGAGGATGCCGCCGACGGGGGCGGGGAGGAAGGCGCAGGGGGCGGTGCAGGCGCCGGGGAAGGTCCGGTCATAACGGCGCTCACGCCCATGACGATCCCGGACGTGTTCCCGCACCTGCCGCTCATCGCCATCACCCGCAACCCCGTGTTCCCGCGCTTTATCAAGATCATCGAGGTAATGGGAGCCCCCGCCTCGGCCTTGGTTTCCCCACCTCTGCAAGTGACAGGTTGGACCGAGGGATCGCGTAGCGCCCTCAGGCCGCAGAACTTTCTCCGAAGTTTTTCAGAGTTTGCAGTTGGAGTCCCGTCCGCGCGGCACCGGTGGGGTGCTCCTGAGCAAATGCCTCACCCTTTTGAGTTCCTTGGGTTTGTTAGAGGAGTTGGGCTCCGTGAACTTAGGACTCCCTTCGAGCCCTGGTGATGGAAGGCCGGGCAGACCAGAGGCAGTATTGCAGCCTGCTTACTCTTCTGTAACTCCCTCGGGTGACAGTTTAGGAACCTCTTTGGGATCAGAATTCATTTCCTCGTTACACAACCATTTCTTGATTGCTTGTGCTCTGTCAGGTAGTTTTAGATTCCCGGCCTTTGGAGTGACCTTCTGTGAGGATGAAATAAGCAGCATTGACCGCCAGGAATAATAGAGCGAGGAATGGTAAAGAGGCTTGAGGGAGGGGAAGGAGGACAGTGTTCTTGATGACTGCCACGGGGCAGGCAGAGGAAGGCAGCGGTGAACATCTGGCCTGAGGAGCAGATGTGGAGGTGGAAGAGGCAGTAAACCTGGTCCTTTCAGAGGAAGAGCCATGAGGGGGGCGGGAAGGAGCAGGGTGATGTAAGAGGGAGAAAGCAGTGACTGCAGGAGGCCCCTGTCATTCAGCTTTCAGAGTGGGAAGAACCCAAATGCCTCTCCCCCACCTACCACCCCCTCCCCTTTAAAATCAGTGGGAGCTCAAGTCCAGGGAGGAGAAAGGTTATCAGTTAATCCTGTAAGCAGGGTCACACAGTGAGTCAGCTTCTGCGTTCACATTCCAGAGTCTGGATAAATAAATAAATCCCAAGGATCCYTTGGAAGGGGAAAGGGCAGTGCAGAGAGGCAGCAGCCCATGAGTGGGGAGGGACAGATGAAGCCCCCCTCCAATTCTGTGTGTCTGAGCTCCTTTTCAAGACCCTTCCTTGATGTTGAGTAATGGTTTCTGGGGCACACACCAGAGCCAGACCCCAAGGAGTCATTCTGGTCCCACTACTCTTCCAGTTACTCTTCAAGGCCTTGATTTTCTTGTCTGTGAAATGGACATCAGAGTAGCATCTTACTGCTGGAGCTGTTGTCGGACTTATATGAAGTTCTGTGTCAAGGACTTGGATCTGTGTCTGGCGCTTAGTTTGCCTCAGTAGTGAGATGCTGCTGCTGCAGTTTGCTACCCAGAGGAAGTTAGAAGTTATGTGACAACTCCTCCGAGTGCCGTGGCAGGTGCACATGGAAGATGTTGGTGACATTTCAGAACTCCTCCCTGAAGGCCTCCGGCCCAGCTTTGACCCCACCCCCAGCTGTCCTCCTTATCTTCCCAGGCTTCTGGGGCCAGGACTGTTCACCAGGCTTGCCTCCCACCCCATAATGACAGATGCCCTTTGCCCCAGTACCCCAGCAGAGAGATGACTCCTCAGGAAAGTCCTGTGCCCATCTGGAGCTAGCCAGGAGGGCCAAACAAGTCACTGTGGACTGCATTGGGAGACCTGGTCGTCAGTGTTTCTGTCCGTGTTACCCTGGAAATAACAAGGGTTTTGCCACGGGGATGGAGAGATAGGTGTGGAGGGTGTAGCAGTCAGCTGATGGCAGGGGAGAAGTTGGGGTGGCTTTTTTGGGACCCAGTAAACATTTCTGAACCTGTTAGCAAATCTGTTTATGTTCGATTTTGTAGTTAATACTACTTGCTCTAATAGCTTCTCTCCTGATTGGTGGCCTTTGAATGTGGAGCAGCCTGTCTTAATTTTGGGGTCTTGCATCCTCTTACTGGATACTACACACTTTCTTTCCAGAAAAAGTATGTCTAAGCTGGATGTGGTAGTCTTGCCTGAAATCCCAGCTACTCAGAGGCTTAGGCAGAAGAATTGCAAGTTTGAGGCCAGCGTCAGCAACTTAGTGAGATCCTGCCCTAGAAAATAATAAGGACTGGGAAGGTTGCTCACTGGTAGAGGACCAGTGGGTTCAATCCCTAGTACTGCAAAAAAATAAAAAATAAAAAAATAAATCTACAGAGTCGGGTGTTCCCACCACAAGACAAGAGCCTCTGTTGGTCCTCGGTGTGGTCCCTGGGCCAGCAGCTTCAGTGTCACCTGGCAGTCAGTTTGAAACGCTGTTTCTGGGGCCCACCCCAGGCCTCCTGGATCAGAAATTGCATGGCTGGGGCCCTGCCGACAGTTTAAGCAGTCCTGCAACTGATTCTGGTGCCTGTTAAAGCTTAAGGTTCGTTAAGTAAGATCTGGCCAGGAATGAGTGGAGGGAATCAGCTGAGTCTCAGATGGCTGCACCCTGCCAGCCAGATGTTTCCTGGAGGACAGTGGAGCCCTGGCCCGCCCCTGGGATGGCACTAAGAGTGCTGTGGTTCTGGGGTATGAACATGACTAGCACAGGTGGATGAGGAGGTAGTTCCTGTGAGAGTGTGGCCTGTGCAGAGGCCACGTTTGACCTCCACATATGTTGTCCTGACATTAAGAAAAACAGAATGGTTATGATTTTCAAACTCAGACATTTTGCCACTGAAACAGCTTTATTTATTTATTTATTTATTTATTAAAGAGAGAGTGAGAGAGGAGAGAGAGAGAGAGAGAGAATTTGTAATATTTATTTCTTAGTTCTCGGCGGACACAACATCTTTGTCTGTATGTGGTGCTGAGGATCGAACCCTGGCCGCACGCATGCCAGGCGAGCGCGCTACCGCTTGAGCCACATCCCCAGCCCGAAACAGCTTTTTTTAAAAAGTATTTTTTAGTTGTATTTGACATAATACCTTTATTTTATATGTGGTGCTGAGGATTGAACCCAGGGCCTTACATGTGCTAGGGGAGCGCTCTACCACTAAGCCACAGCCCCAGCCCTGAAACAGCTTTTTGAGTGGGATGCTAAAGCAATTTCTTGGTTCTGGTCATTTGTCTACTTTGAACTTTTTTTAATACTTTTTTTAAAAATATTTTTTAGTTGTCAGTGGACCTTTATTTTATTTATTTATATGTGGTGCTGAGAATTAAACCCAGTGCCTCACATATGCTAGGCAAGCACTCTACCACTGAGTCCCAGCCCCTGAATTTTCTTTGGAAACGCGGGAGGGACCACTACACTAGGTAATACTGTTCTGCCCCATCCCCTTCCAGTAACCCCAGCCCTGTCCTTTTGGTCCAGATTCCTGGACCATGTTGATTAGTGTCCTGAATCAGGTTAGCATGTCCGTAGAGAGTAAAACTGTCGAGTGTCAGTAGAAGACCTGCCCTGCATTTCACTCGGGTTGTTGTCATGCTAGGTTAAAAATAAGAAGTTGGTTGAGCTGTTGAGAAGGAAAGTCCGTCTTGCCCAGCCATATGTCGGCGTCTTTCTAAAGAGAGATGACAAGTAAGTGGCATTTTTCCTTCATTCTTTTGTTGAAGGGGCCTTGGCGCCTGGCTCCCTGCAGTCCTGCTGTGTAGAGTGGACCTTTCCCCTTGACCTAAGAGGAGCCCCGGCTAAGGGCTGGGCAGAATGCCTCTCTAGTCGCAGCTGAGGACTCTGGTGGCTCCTGCACTGAGCTCCCGGGCTCTGTGTAGAGTGCTGGCCGCGCCTGGCTCCACCCTAGCACCGAGCAGGGAATCTCTGCAAACTGTCCAGATGAGGGATCTAGCTTCAAGGACCTGTAGTGTTAAAAGGCACCTGGGAGGCTGCTCGAGTGCCGAGCCAGCCGGAGGGCTCTACCAAGTTAAAGGAGAGTGGAAGAGAGCCCTTCCTCAGCTCTGAGCTGGCGAGGAGCTGCCCTGTGGAGGTCACCCTGTGGGAGCCCAGGGCGCCACTCTGCTTTTTGCTTTAATTGTTTTTCTTCTAGCTGTAGGTGGACAGAATGCCTTTATTTTATTTAGTATGTGGTACTGAGGCTCCAATCCAGTGCCTCCCGTGTGTTGGGCAAGTGCTGTGCCACTGAGCCATGCCCTAGCCCCAGGCCACTGTTTGTAAAGTGGCGGCAGGGCGCTGGCAGGGCCCTTCTATCCAACACCTCCCTGACGCTGTGCGCCCTGCAGCTCGGCTCAT